AGGTTCCGACATTAAACCCTAAACCCTCAAGAAGGAGCTGAACAAGTAGCTATCCTGCGCCCATAAAGGCCCTAGACCCTAAACTCTCCCTGGACCGTGAGTCCTTCAAACCCCGAAGACTTCGAGATCCCGAAACAACTCGCAGTTTAGGGCCAGCATTACGGATTCCCTGATTGGTTGTTCCATGCTACAGTGTTCCTTTTCGGGTGCCAGTTGAGCAACATACAGGAAAAGGGTTTGCACCGGTTTGGGCGCTAAAACACCGCGCCCATATGAACAGGTGCTCTTTCATGGAGAAGCCGATGTAAGAACCCTCAAAAGAAGACGCATATGAACCCTTGAGGGTGCTCTTAGTAAGCCTTATAAAGCAACGAGTATAGGAAGCCTGATAGAATACCTGTTAACCCTGGGTGCATACGCCCAGACGCAAAGCCACATCACATCGACTCCAAGCCTCAAGCCCAAAGTTTATGAGGGGTAGGGTTTAGGGTTTAGGGCTCTAGGCTTTGAAAACTGGCCCGCCTTTTGCGCTGCACACTCCCTTGCGGAGTATTGGACAAGCCGTGCATGACAGTACACCTGAAGCTTGGATTGCTTTGGCAGCCACTGTCTGTGATATTGTATATGACCGATCGCTTGCAAAAAGGAGAAGTCGAAACCTTAAGCAAGAGGGTGCAAGTACTCAGAAGTAGGGGTTGTCGGTCGGACCCTTAAGGTAAGGCAGGATTTATATCATCAACCGTATTACCAACCCCACTCTTGGGGATTTGGACCCCGAGGGTTATAGACCCTCCAAAACTTAGGCGTACTTAGAAATACTTTTTAGTTTTTTGTTATTATAATCCCTAAGAAACAGCTATTTTTTTTTGCTAGGGTTCTGAGTTCAGTATAGAAAAAACACCTTCATAGAGGGTTCATAGACACTAGCATTCAGGGAATAGGTCCCAAAAGGCCATCCTCATTATTATCGTGGCGGGGACCTACATTTCCATAACAGTGTATATGGACCTTTCGGGGCTGAGTTAGGCCCAAAACCAAAAACCCCAAAGCCCCAAATCCCTAAACCCAAGGACTCTTTTGGGTAGGCGCGCTTTGGAGAGAGGGGCGTCATTGCACTTTAAAGCAAAACCTTGAGTTGTGAGGCCGAGCCTTGTTTGTGGCTTTGGGCATTTCTCTTTGCGCCGGTGCTTCGGCCACTGGGCCTTCCTGTGGGTTGTTTCCGGCTTTGAATGTAGAAGTTTCCGAAAATAGGGGGACCCTGATATAGTACCCCAAATAGTAGGACCCCAAAATAAGGTATCTCAAATTTTCGGAAACTCCCATACTTGGTTTCAGGGTTACGGGTTTAGGGATTTCGCGTCTAGGGGTTTAAGGCTTAGGGCTTTCAGGTTTAAGGCTTCATGGTGCAGGGCTTAGGGGGTTCTTAATTCTTAGTGACAGGGGCTTTGCAGTCTTCTGGTAGAGGTTTTTGAGGCACTTGGGGGATTTGCGGCTGCAGCTGTACAACAGTGGTTGGCTGTTTGACTGTTGTGTTGGGTGGTATTGCTTCCAAGTATTCAGACCTCTATAGAGGGGCTTCCGAAAAGAGGGGAACCACATATTGTAATTATCCTATACATACATACTAGAAGTCTTTCTTTTTTTAGGACCCCATACTCAGATACCCGTAATTGTCGGAAACTCCCATTGAAATTGGGGTAGAGGCGTTTGGCTTGAAGCTTCGAGGCTGTCTGGACTGTTTCATTTTAATGGTCTGGGCTTTGCGTTTTTAAGACTTGTGCCTCTTGCGTGTTCTGACATAAACTTCAGAGCTCTAGGTGGGGTTTTGGGGCTTTGGGGTTTTGGTTTCGGGTCAGGAGATTCGAGGTAGGCTTTCGGGTTGTTTTATATGTCCGTTGTTTGGCTTCCGAGGATCTTAACGAATGTATTTTTGACGGGAACCAATTTAAACGTCACTAGGGTTCTAATCATAATGAACAAACAGGGAGCCCAAACCCTCTTGGATATGTTGTAGAGCTCCTCTATGCTACCAAAACAGGGCCCTAAACGCACAGTTTGCTTGTGGGAAGAGTCAGGAAACCGTACAACTCTAAGCCAAACCCCGAAACCCGCCAAAACTTGAGCCGTAGTCCCTTCAACCCTCAAACCCATTGAAGCTAAGAATTCACCGAAGCACCAGGTACCGTCATTCTTCAACCCCATAAAATCTGGCTGCACTGCTTGCTTGCGGAACTTTTCGGCCCAATATCATAAATATTCTAAGCCTCAGATCCTGAACTCTTACGTATACCTAAGCCCCAAGTCCTAAAGCCTTGAACTACAAGTCTTTGGATCCAAGCCCAGGCCCTTCAGCCAGAGCCCCGAACCCAGTAGCCCAACGTCCCAAAAATTTCGACTCGCCAGAGTTCGGCTTGTGGCCTTGATGTTCCTGGAGTGATACAGCAAACCACATAAAGTTGGAAACCGGATTAAGGCCAAATAGTGCTGAGATTCCCTCTACATTAATCATTAATCTTAAGGAATGAGGCCATGGGGGTTTCCAACTTTTGGGCTTCTACTGTAGAGAGGATGATGGCCAACACCTTATAGTTCCTATGTAGAATGCAAGCAGGGCATACCCGGAAGTCCTATTCTAACCCATTTGCCCGCGCAGCTCAGCAAACATGAAGAGATAACACGACCCAAACCCAAGAGCTTTCTATCCGTTTAATCTAATCTGGTCATTGGAGGTCCTAAGCTTAGCCAACACAGCTTCGTTCCCCTAAAGCCCAGCGCCCTAAACCGTCAACACCAAATCTCCTACCAGGACCCCCCACAGGCCCTTTAACAGAGCTCTGTTGGCCTGAATAGTGGCTATTTGGGGCATGTTAGAAGGTGGTTGGGGGTCTACCTACAGCCCTTCCCCTGAGAGCCCTGTTACTAAGCTCTTACAGTAGAAGCCAGAAAGTTGGAACATGGCTTTAGGATTAGTGCTAGGATCCCTTATACTTTACCTTAAGGGCATGAGGAGTCTGATGTTCCAACTTACTGGCTTCTACTATAACCCTAAAACCCCAAGCCCTAAGCCCTCGGAGTCACCCAAGGAGTCCTTCAAAGGACTCGACCCCAGATCCCTCCCCTACTTTAACCGACGATCTACTGAAAGGTTGCAAGGTGCAGCAGCCAGAACAATTTTAATGCAGAGGCCTTGATAATTAGAACAGGTGTGTTGGGCTCCTTTGTACTATAAGTCTTATCTGAAAGCCCGAAACTAGTACTGGTAAATAGGCCCCTGTGCTAAGTCTTTATAGTAGGCCTCATTATAGAAGCCTTATAGACCCCCGTTCAAAGTAATCCATAATCTATTTCAATCTAACCCAAGTCCCACGGATCCCCTGCAGTCGGCCTTTCGCTGAAGAAGTGATCCGGAGCCCAAAAAAACCCAGGGGGTCCAAGTACGCCCTATTACAGGACTTTAAGGCCTTTTCAGGTATCAAAAACCATAAATAAGGACTACTTGGACCCTTAGGGAAACATTTCAAAATTAAGGTTTTGGAGTTAAGGGTTCAGGGGTCTAGGGGTTTAGGGTTTAGGGGTTTTGGTTCACATCTAGGGTTCAGGGTTAGGGGCTTGCAAGCTTTAAGGCCCTTGCTGCTTAAAGAGAAACCGCTATGTTGCCAAGGCTGTTGAGCTTCCTTCCCAGTGCGAGCTGGGTGCGCCGCGCTGTCGGCTTGATGTCAGAGGGTCCGTTGTTTCAACCATCTTGAAAGAGAGTAAGGCTGCCTTTAGTTTAAGGGTTGAGAAACGGTTTAGAGTGTAGGGTTCAGGTTTAGAAAAAGACCACCCTGATCCTGATTATGTTTTTTGGGGACCTGCGTACGCATTGCTAAACACTGAACCCAAAGCCAAAGTTGGTGCAGCAGTACTCTGTCTGCGCAGCAAGGTTGTATAATCATCAGTGCTGTGACGCTATATTGCTATGTCATGGCATCGTTACGACGTGACGTTCTTTTTAGTACGCGACTGTTGGTCGAATTGTCGTGAGCTTCTCGACATGAATCTTATGCATTGGGCGTTGGAAGTTTAGGGATCGCATTTCGGATCTGTAGGGGCGGGCTAAGTTCTTGGGGGTATGATTCATAGGGGCCCTTAGGGGTGTAGGGGGAGGGGGGGTAGGGGGCCTTAAGGCCCATAATAAGGACTAATAAGGCCTATTTAAGGAAGTATAGTCCCCTACACCCCTCCTAAGGATCCCAAAGAATGATAAAAGGGTCAAAATTTAAGTGCTGAAGTGTTAGCAGGGCCCTCAACAGCCTTTTAATAGAGCCCTTATGGCTCTGAATAAGCCTCAATAGTGGGTATTTGGGGTATCTTAGCAGGTGCTTGGGTGGGGGTGTTATGTTGCATAGTTCCACTATGGAACCTAGCCCACGCCTCAATGATAAGGATGGTCAAAGTAGGTGTAGTTGCGTTCTGTTTGAATGCTTGAGCCAGGTGTTCAAAATTCAGGCCCACCAAATTTCCAGTGCAAAGTCCCCTAGGCTATCTTAAGCTCCAACACCTTGTACCTTTACTCCCGCCTAGATTAAACATGCCTGAACTATGCCACCTTCCAATTTCAGCCCAACGTGACAGTACGTACATTTATTTCATGTTGCGGTACCTCGGTGACCCTCAATCCAAGATCCTAAACCGGAAAACAGGCCCCCAGACCCTGAACGTTCTGTTTGCATCCTCGGGGATCTCTGAACCCTGAACCCAGAACCCTGAACTCTAAACCCTCAACCCTACAACTCCTATACCCCAGACCCCGTAAGCCCTATAAACTCTATAAACCCGATGACCCTATAAACCCTGAACCCAAAAGCCCAAATCCTAAACCCCAAAAGCTTTAACCCTAAACCCCAACACCTAAACTCTACACCCTTCTAGATCCCTTTGAAAGAACCTCCATAGATTCCTGTAAAGGAAGCCCTTATAGATCCCTTTAAAGGGAACCCTAAACCGGATCGTTCCGGCAGATGCAGCCAGAGCCCCTGCACTGGGAGGAGTTTGCAGCAACGGTCGGGCTCTCGAAAGATGGTAGAGCCGATGAGGTTTTAGGGTTTAGAGTACCTTAATAAGGGTTAGGGTCTTAGGGTTTTAGGGTTTAGGGTTTGAGGGATTTAGGGTTTAGGGTCTAGAGTACCTTATGAAGGGTTAGGGTCTTAGGGTTTTAGGGTTTAGGGTTTGAGGGTTTTAGGGTTGAGGGTTTTAGGGTTTAGGGTACCTTAAGGTCCAGGGTTTAGAACTTACTTAGACTCAGGGATAACCGTAAGGCTCTAGGGACTCGCAGTTGCAGGCTTTTGGGCCCAAAGACCCTACTAGGATGCCCAGTAGTACCCGTATTCCCTTTTTGTAGTCCTAGGTTCCTTATAAAGTTACCCAATACCAAAAAGAGAGGCCTTTTTATTCTTAGGTTACTGGGTATCCTAGCCTAACATGCAAGGCATCTAGGCTGTTTGGAGCCTTAGGGTCAGGATGTAGTAGCGGTTAAGGGTTCAGTCTCTTCTATCTTTTGAGCTTCGGATGTTGGTGTTCTTGGTCTGTTAGGGGGGGGGTGCTGGAAAAGCTGTGAATGATTTTTCTCATTACAGCAAAAGTTTTAATGAAGCAATTCACAAGCTGGAAAAACTGTGAATGAAGCAAAAACGACAGCTACAAATAAAGGCACCAGCGGCGTCGCTCAAGACCATGCTGTCGTCTTGCGAAGGCATCCTGCAGCAAGTGCAACAACCGTTCACCATCACCATCACCACCATCATATCATCATCACGACCATCATCCTCACCATCTTCACCGCCGTCATCCCTATCACATTGCTATCCCGCTTGCCATCACCAAAGTTAAATTTGGCAGTGGCAGTGGGTTTGAAACCAGCATGTGGGGGCTCCAACTAGCCCAAAGGTTCTCTGCATTATGGTCTTCCTGCCGAAGTCGATTGGGTTATGGGTACCATGTACTAAGGACCTTACCCAAACGGTTCAACGGACTCAATAATTGGGTACTTGTGTTTCGGATACTAGTTATGTACGTTACTGTTTCGGACAGTATATGACTCTTAGCTACTTGGACCCTTAGGGTGACAGAAGCGCCTTATAGTACCTTAGGTTGAAAAATATTTGGGGGTGCAGAAGCCCTTCTTCTGACGAAGCAGCCAAAACCCAAATACCTCCACCCTTCTTGGCCGAGGGCGCTGTGATGTGGCTGGTGGCACGGGCCCTCTACGTCTCCTGGCACCTGAGGCAGGTCTCTCTCGTTTAAGATCTTGAACAACTACTGTCATCTTCGTGTTCTGAATATGACGATACTGCAAGATACCACGAACTGCTATTCTGAATACCAGGGCCCTGAAATTACGCAGGGAAGCTGCAACACTGTGTTTGAAAAGGTTCCGTTCGGTGATTACAAAGGATCCCCCAAGCTTAGATTCATGAAAACAATCATAATGGGCATCTTCATGATCATAAGCTTCACAGTGAAATCAACAAGCCTGAAAGCAACAAGGGTAATCATCATGGTCATGCTATGAGTAACGATACTAGTAGAATTGATACAAACACGCTTTACTACTGTACTCAGAAGCATGTGTTGCACAATGGCCGTAGTAGTAGTAGTAGTAGTAGCAGTAAACATGTTTAATAGTAGCGGTACCATTGGCAACGTTAGAGACACGAGTAGAAGTTACAGTCGAAACGCCAACAACCAACAGTTATAGTAGCAATAGGAAGCAGGAGAAGAGTTCTCATAATCCGAAGGGTAGTCACAAAATAAACTGTTCACATCATTTGTAATGACACTGACAATATTCGTACTGTCAGTAATAATAACAACAACAATATTACTAATGATACCAAGAATCATGGTAACAGTACTAGCAACTTCTTAATCAATAACAGTGGTAATTGTAATTACCATGAAACGAGTAAGAGAGCATGATCCTTAGAATAAATCTTGGAAATACTAACAATGATAACCACCGTCATCAAAATATTCAAAGCAGCAATATTTGTAGTCGAAGCAACATTTACAACAAGAAGACTGGCAATACATACGAAAAGAATTCAATTATCACTAGTATTGGCAACCACACATGCAAATCTCATAGTACATGTTAGGTAGGTATAGCTCAGCATGTACCATTGTCATAGCTATGATGATAAGACTAGTAACAATGTTCATCAAGAATCATAATAATACTAATACTGATACAATATACAAACAAGAATAACAGCAACGGCAAAGAAGCCAACACTATCTTAAACATAGTCATCGTAAGACCAAGAGCACAGGAGTAGCCTTTCAATGTTCCCTGGCTTCAGGTGCATGTTCCGCTAGTCACCCTAAACGCCAGACCGTAGCCAGAAAGCCCCAAAAGCCGTCAGTCCCAAAACCATTGTAGCAACCCTTGTAGTAACCTCTACGAGAATCACCCGCCCGACTTTTCAAAAGCATCATTATAAGCCCTATAAGCGTAAGGTCAAGCCCGCTTCGGAAGCACCCGAAAGCCGAAGCAACTTTTGAAAACTTCAAGTCTCAAATCTACACAGCCCAAAATCTTGCAAAAGGAGGAAACCTTGACATACAAACCACATCAGTACCTCTCCAAACAAGAACGCGACAAGCAAATCCTATGCTGGCTCCTTATATCCGGAAATGGCAAGCCCTCATGAGGCCTTATTAAACCCTGCAGCTTGTCAAGCCCCACGCCTTCATCCAGAGCCCTTATCCCTGAACCCTAATCCTTAATCCCTGACCTACTCCCGAACCCGAAACTAGGAGCCGAGGCAGGCGCACAAAGAAGGCCGTCAACCTAACTTCAAAACGACAAAAATCAGCCCTAAACTCGATCCCGAAATCCTTAATCCCTAAACTTCTAAACCCTAAACCCCAAACCCTACACCCTGAACCCTAAACCCTAAGAGTATGGGGATTTCGGGGTCAGAATCAGAAGGGCTGAGGGTTCAGGGTCAGGCGTTCTAAGCTCAAAGGCTTCAGGGGTTACCTAGACCCCTATAGATCCCTTAAATCCCTGAACCCTGGATCTGACGTGAAGCGCCGAGAGGCAGCAGCGCGCAGAAACCCGAGAACGACTTGAGGCCCCCCATGATCATAGGAGGCCAAAAGGTGTTTTTGCCTATGGGGGTTTAGTAGGGATTAGGGTCCCCAGAATAGGGTTCATATTAAGGAATCCCTACCCCAAGAATCTTAAACCCCCCTTTTGGCCTCCCATCATGTGAGACGGTCTCAGGAAGCCAAGGGTATTCAAGAGTATGTACTATAGGGCTCTAAATCTTTCCTAACACCGGGTTCCATTTGAAGGGGTCTATAAGGATAAGGATTACTATAAGGGGTATGATGGGGGTGTAATTACCTATACTATTTTTGGAGGGTTCCTTCTTATATTATGTACTCTTACAGGTTCCTGGGGGTTCATGAAGGATACCATGAGGAGTTAGGACTTGAGGATTTAGGGTCTTCAGTGTACCATAAGGGTACTATATTGGAGTTAAGGTTTAGCTCCTATGGGTTTCGGGCTTACTTGCTCAGAGTGAACAAGGTACCTTTATAGTAGAAGCCAGAAAGTTGGAACATCATTCTCCTCATGCCCTTAAGGCAAATTATAAGGGATCCTAGCACGAATCCTCCTAAAGCCATGTTCCAACTTTCTGTCTTCTACTGTAACAAGATGATGTACTAGATTGGTTAGGGCCATATCCCTCTGATTGAAGGTACATCGCTTACCCTAGGGATAGCTACGGCTTAGGGCTTCAGGTGCAAAGTTTGGGAGTTAGGTTTCGATAGAGGCTAAAGTAAAGTATATCCCCCCAAGTGCCCTTCAATAGAGCCCCTGCGGTCCTGAATAGTGGGTATTCAGGGCATATCAGAGGGTAGTTGGGGTCTAAGTAGGGGTTGAAGTCGTTGGGGCTTTTTAGGATTTCAACAGCTCTGCAGGTCTTCTGTCTGGTTCTTAGCAGGGAATGGGGGAATGGCTTGTTGGGACGAATATTGGGCTACTATAGGGATCCATTCCCCCATTCCCTACTAAGCACCAGGGAGCTCGGGTTTAGGGGTTTAGGGATTTAGCGTTTAGGGTTCAGGGTCAGGGATTTGGGGTTTAGGGGTTTTGAGGTTTAGGGTTTAAGGTTTAAGGTTTAGAGGTTTAGGGTTTAGGGTTTAGGGATTTAGCGTTTAGGGTTTAGGTTTAGGGGTTTAGGGTTTCGGAGTTCGGCCTTTGGGTTGAGAGCAAGGCAATGGGTCTCGCGGATCGAAGTTGAAGGCGTTGGGTTTCGAGTTTCCCAGAGACTCCAATATCCCTTAAAAAAGGAACATCCAACAATCCTATGAGGGATCGAACGATAATTTAAGGTATACTCCTTAATTACGGGATATTGGAGTCTCCGGGTTCGGGAGAAGGGGATAAAGGTGTGAAGGGATTAAGGCTGGAGGCTTGAGACGTGAGGTTTGAGGGTTTAGAGCTTTAGGCACGTAGAAAACTGGGTTTAGCTATGGCCTCCAAGCCTCCAATGTAGTTCCTTTTTGGCTAGCCAGTTTTCTGGCTAGGATCCTACATTTGCCAATTTGGTTAACCAAAACAGGATCTACGGTGGAGAGCCTAGGCAGTCGAAGGAGGCGCTGGCGGCTCAAAAAGGTAACACGTCAGGGCTTGCGGGTTCGTCATTGGTCCGAGCCCAAGCCTAAAGCCATGCCCTAAACCCTAGACCTTATATAAATGAAACCGAAGGCGTAAACTCCACAATTATACCGGAACCCTATAAGCCCCAAACCGCAGCCCCAACGGTAGAAACATGTAGGTGCTCCTTTTCGAGTTGTTACTAAACCCCATGCATCCGTATAGAACCCCTAAACCCTAAACCTTAAACCCCCTTAAACCCTTAAACCCTAAACCCCCCTAAGCCCCCCTAAACCCTAAACTCTAAACCCTTTTTTCTATCCCGATAAACAATCCGCAAGGCCCTTTTGGAGGCTGTCACGGATGCGATGGGGACCGGGTACCCAGGGCTACCCTCGCCGGACTCGAAGAGTTCGGGAGTTTTGGGTTCAAGGATTACCTTGGGATCCGAAAACCTACCGTGTTCAGGGTTCTACGGTTGATGATTTAAATCCTGCATTACCTTAATGACCCTAAACTATGGGAATTATTATATATTCCTTATTATGGGTCATGCAGGATTTCTATCATCAACCGTAGTACCCTCTAATACCTACTATTTTGTAGAGTTTTGGGTTCAAGGATTTGGGGTTGCGGGGGCTTCGGGGTTGAGGGTAAAAGTCGGCTTTGCGATCCATGCTGGGGCTTTCCGATGTTAGGGCTTGGAAAGAGAACTCGTACTGCTCTGTCCCAGGATTTGAAAGGTGCTTCTTTTGAACCCTACTTGCAATGCCGCGAGATTATCTACGAACCTTTGTGGGCAAGACGTTGACTGAGATCAGAGACAGAGCGGTGGTTTTGGCTGACCAAACTGCCATCAGGTACGGGGCGGACCCCGAACTGCTCATCGATATACAAATCGTATGGATGGGCAACGAACTTGTTGGCCGCTACAGAGTGTTCCTCTCGCCAGGAGTGCCCAGCTGGTGGGAAAACCCAGGCGCCGATTGAGGCGAAAGGCGTTTGGGGCAAAATCTGCAGTCGTGTGTGCCAGAACATAGATGCACTAGCAGACGTGCAGCGCCGATCCCCTCACATCGGGTGTGTCGTCCTTTGCACGGGCATCAGGAGTTTCGTCTATGGACTCCCGAAGCAAATCGATGAGTGCTTGGCGAAATTTCGTGATGAAGCGGTCCTTAAGGGAGACATCTATATAGGTGTTTGGAAAAGGTTCCGTTTCTTGTCGCTGGGCTGAGAGATTAATTGGCAGGGTTTACATACATAGATCATGTAGGATTTGTTGGGTTTTTAGGGCTTGCGATGTGCGGTGCGTGCGGGTGTAGTCTCGTGCCGTTTAGTATTTGTGTTCGGCTGTAGTCTCGTGCTGTTTAGTATGTTAGGAGTTCCTGTAGCTTCTTTAGGCCACCCTTAACAGGCAACAGGGTCCGGTGTTCTTCGAACCTTGGACATGCCAAGCACGGAGACTAGGGCCGATTAGGGTTTTAAGGTCAGGGTTTTGGGACTTGGGGATTTTCAATAGTCTGTGTTTCGATCGTGTGGAGTCGAACTGTCAACAGCCAGCAGTAAAAATTCATGGCCCTGCTTGTTGGAACTGGTAGCGTTAAATATAGGGGCTTAGATAAATACCGATGCTATTTCGGGGGATCCTTGTTATAGTTATAGTATAATGGCCCCCAAGCCCTCTTTTTTAGTTATGAAGGCCCCTAGAGTAGCGCTTTTGTTTTTGTTAAAGTATGTGTCTGCTTGGTTTTTGCCGTCAGGCATGTTGAGTGTACGGGACGGACACCGAAATTCTGTGCCACTTCCAGTCTGAGGACGGTTGGTTTGTGCTTACTTCCTAAGCAGCAGAAGCTTAAACCCTGAAGGCTTATGCATTTGGGGTTGAAGTCGGTACCGACTCAGCAAGGTCACCTGATGCAGTGCTGGAGCCCAACTTCGTGGAAGGCGTGGGCTCGTCCGGGGGGGTGAGTGTAAGGACCTACAAGATGATATTCTACTTGGAGGGTCAGGGGACTTAGTAACTGGTTATTTTGGGGACCCTTTTAGGGTACTTATAATTGTACTTACTACCTACTTACGAAGTCCCCCGACCCTCCCAGTACTGTCACTGCAAAGGTTTGGGTTTCTATAAAGGCGTTACTGTATGTAAGCGTTCCCAGAAGGGTTGCCATAATTAGGATGCCCAGTAGTACCCTTAGTCCCTTTTTGTAGTCCTAGGTTCCTTATAAAATCAGTAAAGTTACCCAATACCAAAAAGGGAGCCCGTTTTATTCCTAGGTTACTCCGCATCGTAGTACTTTGCGGTGCATGATGTTTTACGCTTTCTGATTGGGTGACACTGTTAGGCCAGCTCAGGGTCTATGCAGGTGAAAAGAGATCATCCTTAGACGCCTTAGGAGTTTGCATCTAGGCGACGCGAAACAGCAATGGTTTACGGTTTGAGGCGATCGTAGTATGGCTATGTTCGGAAGCCTTGTGTGTGTGTGTAGATTGGCGGTCGGGTTCGATGAAGCGGCATGAAGATATTACATGGGTCAAACTTGCTCACAGCATTACACTGAACATGCCTGTGACCTTCTTGCAATACCTGTACATCCTGAGCCCTAAACCAAGCCGTTTCAAGCATAACTAGTCTTTGTGCTTGAAGCGGCTTGATTTAGGGCTTAGGATGTACAGGTATTGCAAGAAGGTCATAGGCTTAAACCTGCAAAAGCCCAGCACTCTAAACCCTATAACCTTAAAAGGAACAATTCCTCTTTAACAGTATAGTTACCCTAATCTCTAACCCTGACTCCCCAAACCCTACTCTCCACTCCCCATAAATTTATAACTCCAAACCCTACAAACCCTGAACCGAGTAGTTCCCTTGGCATGGCTCAGACTGTAGACCCAAGGGGGGCACCTCACGAGGTAGATAGGAAGCCCGCAGAGGGGTTTTTCTGAGATACATAGTCTTCTGAGGGCCATTTAGAAAGCAAAAGTCCCAAGCTCGAGCGAACAAGCAAGAACCAATCCATCTCCCAAAGCTCCCCCGCCCCAGGAGAACGGAAGCTTCGCAAACCTTGAAGTTCTATCTACTGATCTATGTGTTTGTCGATCTGATATACCAGGTTACTAAGACTTCAGAGGCTGGCATTTTGCCCTCCGTGGCCCTAAACCCGACACCCTAAACTGCACTAGGGGTGCTAGGGTGTCAGGCCGCGAGGATTGTTCCAGACAAGCCTGTGGGAGGTAATCAGCTTGGCAGGTGCGATGCAGGGTTGGGAGTTTTGGATGTGTAGTGTTCAGCCGAAACACATTTACATCTGCACATCCATTCACGCTTGAATTCATGCATCCATTCATCCGTGCATGCATACATACAGATTAGTTACAGATATAAATACATGCGTATGCACATACAGGCTCATACACATATGCATATATGTATGTGTGTGTATATATATATATGCACAGTCACAGGTATGAAAGTTTGCATTGTTGTTGTGCATTGAACTGTTTTTTGTCCTGCAAGCATGGCTCTCCAAGTCATGCATTCTGCCTATGAGGTCCGCTGCAGCCAAAGGTTCGGATGCCCAGTCTGATGAGTGGACGCTTCAGGTTCTCTTGTTTTTGGTGGCTCCCGTCAAGAGTGTCTGTGTAATAGTGTATATGCAATATGTGTGTATATAAATATATACACATAGATAGATGTATACAGGAACCTGTACAGGAACCCTACCTTTGCCTAAGTATATACTGTGTTGGTACCTGAACTCTGGTTGGGTTTCAGATCCAGAGCTCGAGGTCTTGATGCTTTGTGTTGACTTATGCTTTTACCGTTGGCTTTGGCTTGGCTTGCTGCGAGTACTTACAGGATCATGGGACCTAGTAAGTAAGGTTATAAGTTCCTTAATTGGGGATATAAGTTGCTATAATAAGTATAGTTAGCTTATTTATAACCCTAGTTACTAAGTCCCATGATCCTCTAAATGTACCCCCCCAAACCCATATAGAACCCTTAGTAGTAACCCTTATAGATCCCTTTGTAGGAGCCCCTTTAAAGGGGACCCTAGTGTATATGTCATCTTGTGGTGGGCATATCTTTGTGCTGCTGCGCACTCAACAGAGCGCGACCTCCCGAGCACAACCAAAACCCTCAATCCCTACTCCTACAGGGAACTCCAGAAAGTTGGAATATGGATTAATGGTAGGATCCCCTATAATTTACCTTAAAGGGGTTACGATAATGATATTCCAACTTTCTGGTTTCTACTGTAAATCTCTAAACCACTAAATGACTAAACCGCTAACTTATTTAAACCGCTAAACTACTAAATCCTGAACTTACTAAACCCCTACACTACTATACCTCTAAATTTCTAAAACCCCGAAACCCTAAACCCCCGAACCCCTAAGCCGTTCTTTCAAGACCCTGGGACCTCGCAGCCGACTCCCCAGAGAGCCCAATACCCCTTGATTACGGAATATAGCTTAAATCATAATATGAGCCCCCTTATAGTTTAAGGTATATTCCTGAATTAAGGAATACAGCTTAAATCAAACTTCAGTTTAAGGTATATTCCTTGATTGAGGGGTATTGGGCTGTCTGGGTCCCAGGTAACTCCACCCACGGAAGATCGATTGCTGGATCTCCGAAAGGCCCGGGTTTCCCAAAGGGCCCTTTAAGGGATCGACAGGGTTCCTTTAAGGGTTCCCTCAAAGGGATCTATAGGGGGTACTGTTCTGTCGAATACTCCCCCAAATCAGAATAGTAATTCCCGAATGTAGAACCCTACATTCTACTGTATTGGTACTTTGGACCCTTTGAGCTTCTCCAGGGTTTACAGTAGAAGCCAAAAAGGTTGGACACCCGATAGCCTCAATCCCTAAGCGAAAAGTATAGGGAATCCCATCACCATTTGTCCTTAATCAGGTTTTCAACTTTTGGGGTTTGCTGCAGCCGTATCCAAAAGATCGGGTATCTTCTTATATTGGTTTCTATACATTATCCCTTAAACGGGTAGGTCTTTTCGGTCACAGGTAGCGTTTAGGGCTCAGGTTATAGTCAAGAAATCCGCTGTTTAGCGTTCAGGGTGCAAGCGGAAATCAAGAAACCCAGGGTTTAGCGTTTAGGGTTTAGGTGAAAATCAAGAAACTTCAAGAAACATAGGGTTTTAGGGTTTGCTATTATGGGGAAACCTCGGGTTTGGGGTTCAACGAAGTTACTACGGTTGATGGTATAAATCCTGCATGGAAATAATGACCCTAGTCCATGGGAGTTATGGTATTGTCCTTGTTATGGGTAGTGCAGGATTTATATCATCAATCGTAGCATAAGGAACTCTGGGGTTCAGGTTTTTTAAGTCGTCTGCTATAATTTATAAGTGTAGTAGAATGTACCCAAAACCCTAGTCTAATTATTGTTTTAGAACCTTACTGTAGATCCCTTATAGGGCCCTTTAAGGAACCCTTTACAGGAACCCTAGTCTAATTATTGAGGCCCCTTTATTTTAGAGCCTTACTGTAGATCCCTTATAGGGCCCTTTAAGGAACCCTTTACAGGAACCCTAGTCTAATTAACTGTACTTCATAGGAGCCTCGTCACTGATCTGGACACTCCAATACCATCCCACAGATATTATCCCCGAGACTCTGCCCCGCCCTTGCTCGACGATGAGCCTTTCATCTAATGTATAGAGTATACCGTCTACCTCATTAGTTGCCTAGTTAGAGTGTGTTGTTGAGCATGTCGGGAGGAATCGGTGCAATTTTCCACGATCGCTGGCGAGAGTCTTATAGAACCGCGAGAGAATGTCTTGCTATGCCAAAGATTAACCCTAAGGCTCCATGTACCCTTATAGTAGATACTTAGGCCTTAAAGTACTTACATAGGGACCACTTTAAGGCCTAAGTATCTACTATAAGGGTACATGGACCCTTAGGGTTAAAGCCCTGAACACGATCCCAAACTCTGAGTCCCAACCGCAACACCCTAAGCGATACCCTAACACCAAATAACCTACCATCATGACTTGTGTAATTTCCTGGAAATCATCATAAAGAACACTGCAAGAGCAGCTTCTAAGGCTTGTATGGTAGCCCCCTCTAATCCCCTGAAGCTTCCAGCATCAACTCTCGGCTCACAGTCCGGTGGTTATGGACCATACCATACCATGCCCGAAGAAACACGAAACCTATGCAGAGTTTGCTCATGGACTTTGCAGATTTTTTTGGTGTGTCAGAATAGGCTTCAGGGTTTGACAAAGGGGTGCGTGATACCAGGCCGGTCGAACTGCCGGCATCAGATAAGGAGGCTGGTAAGCACAACTGCAGCACAAGGCCGAAATCAAGTACCTCAAGAAGAGGAAGTGTTCCTGGGTTCGTCAAGAGCCCGAAACCCTAAACCCCGAAACCCTAAACCCTACCTCCCAAGACCTGGCGGCGGGAGCCAGAAACCCTAAACAAGTGAACCCCAGTGGTAGCCTAGACCCGCGCTTCTTGCGGGGTATTGTAGAAGCCTTCAGAATATTATTAAAGCCCCTCTATTCCCCCTCGCCCCAACGACGCCATGCGGTGGCCACTTCCAGTGATAGGCCGCAAGTCGAACGGGTTGTACCCAGAGCCTCCCAAACCCCTTAATTAAGGAATATACCTTAAACTATATTTGGGATCCTATTATGATTTAAGGTCTATTCCTTAATTAAGGGGTTTTGGAGGCTCTGGGTAGGGTTTTGATCTTTGGAGAACATTGGGATCCAAGAACCTAATTACCGGTTTCAGGGTTAAAGTAAAAGCCAGAAAGCCCCTAAACCCTAGAGTACCCTTACTTATCCTTAAAGGAACCCATAAGGTATTAGAGTTTAGGGTTTAGGGTTGGTAAAAGCCAGAAAGTTGGAATATGATTATCCTAAACCCTTCATGGTAAATTATAAGGTATCCTACCCTGAAACCATATTCCAACTTTCTGGAGTTCCCTTTAAACCCTTGAATGAGGGGGTCATAGCCTAAGGGCTTGGGGATACAGGACGAGGGTGAGCAGCAAGGGTTGAGATTTCAATGCGAGTTCAATAACATCATATCTCCGATGCCGCCCTAGAACCAAGAACACTTACGGGCAGCTTCGCTCTTAGGTACAGTCCTGCAGTGCACGGCACCACATCAGGAAGGCCTACAACTGAAGACGTCCAACTCCTAGAACCGTAACTACGACCCCCTAACAGCTCAAACTGCGCGTTAGGGTTTAGGAGTTTTTTAGGGTTTAGGGAGAAGCGCAACTACCTCTTGTGCAGGGGGTTTAGGCTTTCTGGTTTGAGACGGTTCGGGGCTTACGCCACAGGCCCCCAATTGTAGCTCCTTGTTGTGGCTACCTTGTTTCCGACTGTTCCGACTGTGACAGGATCTTAATTGAAGGCCAAGTTAAACCAAAAAGCAAAGCATGGCAAAGTCACCGTTAAGTTCCTGACCTCCATCTTTGCGTCTTTCCCAAATGGCCCAGCACCCAACGCATACAGACTCACCTAAACACTAACCTACGAGCACAACTACATGGAACCATAAATCAGGTACATAGTGGCCGATGGGTCTAAATAGTGGTGTATTGTACCTCCGCTGGTCCCTTTGTACTTACAGCCTGCAAAGCCAACATAAATATCCAAATATTGCATGGGATCGGAACGACTTCTAACAGCACATTATCATAATCATAGTATCCTTTTTCTCCAAAACCTGATTCTACTTGCCAACCGTTGAGGCCTCCCATGTTCGTAACGTAGCTCATCATGGCACAGAGTGCGGGAGGCTGTGTGTGCGAGAGAGAAAGCGAGAGTGACAGACAGAGACAGCGAGAGAGGGACAGAGAAGAGAGAGAGAGAGAGAAAGAGAGAGAGAGAGAGAGAGACAGACAGACAGAGAGACAGAGAGAGGGGGTAAAAGACAGAGAGAGAGAGAGATACAGAGTATGTGTGTCTGTAAGACATGGCTACTTGCATCTGTATGTGTATATATGTATATGTATGTATGTATGCACGTATGTATGTATGTATATATATATATGTATATGTATATACATATATATATATATATATAGACATACATATATTTATATACATATATGTTATATACCTTATTTTATGTATGGAGATAAAATATAAGTCGCATGCGTAGGTATACATAGATACCATCTCGTAAAATTGCACCTCGTCTCGCATCATACCAAAGGTAGTTAATCATATCGCATCGCCTCATACCAGGTCGAGTATTCATGAATATCATACCGCACCATGGTATGTAATATAGTTTCATAGTACAGCACACCGTATCATGTCATGTGTCGCCACATCATGTCATATTATGAGCACATGCATGTGCAACCAAGACATGTCCATCTTATTGCGTGTCTGTGCATGCACGTCGTTTTTGAGCAACATCTATTCAAAGTTCATAACGCCGGGGCCGTAGTAATTAGAATACGGTTGCAGGGTATATGATACTATAGTAATAAAGAAGCCCCCAAAACCCTCTTCTAACTATTCAGGCCTTTACAGTAGCTGTCTTTAGCCCCGAAGTCGTTAACCCCCGACGGAGGCCTCTGTCTGCATCCGGGCATCCGGGCCCATGCCACCGATGCGAACCTCACGGAGGTACCATACGGGCCCTATACAGGGAACTCCAGAAAGTTGGAATATGGTTTCAGGGTGGGATACCCTATAATTTACCAGTAAGGGTTCGGGATAATCATATTCCAACTTTCTGGCTTTTACTGTATTTGGAGTAGGGTGTTAGGGTATAGTATGCTATAATATATCCATATTGGTGAACTGTCCAGGAACCTTGTTTAGAAGTATTCAGGTCTCCGTGTGTGGCTGTTAGGGTGTCCGATTAGGGTTGCATGTGGTGTTTACCCTGTGGCCTATGTTTTCACATGCAGGGGCGAAATCTGACGCATCCTTTTTTAATTTTTCTGAGTATTCCACACACCCCAAACCGTAGTCCCGCAACCTTAAACTCTTATCATATAACTACCACGAAACCCTAAGGTAGTTTGGCCTTAATCCGTCCCTATGTAGGTACTTGGGGGTCAAACTATAAACTATTTGGGTACATGGACCCTTTAAACCCTAAACCCTTACAGAAACCCTTATAGCGTCCTTATAGGAACCCTTAGAAGGAACCTTCAGCCTAGTATATATGGACCCTTCGGGAAACCCAATCTCGGCCCCTCATAGATGGGCTTAGTGAATTTTAACATCTCTCAGGACCCAAAGTTGCCTCAAAGCTTTGCGCTTGACGGGTTTAGGGCTCATGGTGGAGGGTTTAGTGTTTAGGGTTTAGGGTTTAGGGTGATGTGGGGGCTTGGATGAATCTGGAACCCTGCTGAACACGCAGAATAAGCAAACGGAACACCGAAAAGGATGGGTTCTTCTTAGCCCCAACCATGATTAGCGGAGACTCCAATATTCCTTAATTAAGGAATATATTCCCTAAATTATAGTAGGATCCCTAATATTTAAGGAATATTCCTTAATTAAGGGATATTGGAGTCTCTGGGTTAGCGGGGGGGGACTTAGTGAGGCCTGGCGACTAGGAATTTGGCAGCGATCGACTTACGGTTCAAGCGTTCTCTGGTTAGCTTGCAGGGTGTAGGGTTTCGGAGTTTTAGA